ACTCCATCTTTGATATGATTTAAAGCAATTATAGGACTTGAACAGCGGAACTTTGTAACTAAACAAGAAATTATGTCTGTTTAATAGAATTAAAGAGAAAGTATTATCACATGAAACGAAGCAACTTACATTGAAAGAAATGTTTAATAAAGTAAACAAATAAATATTAAGCTTTTTCTTTTTGTAAATTTTGATACCCTTTAGATCATAATTGTTCTTTATTTTATAAATTACGATTTCATATTTTTAATTTTGTAATTTCTGCATGCCATCTTACCAGATTTAAACTGATGATCTATAATCCGGAATCGCCGAAGTCCCGACGAGTCCGGATTAACGACTTTTGACTGTACTAAATTACAGGACTTCATTTAATACGAGGTACTTGCCATACTGAGAGAAATGCTGCAAACTGTTAAGCAAAGTTTCACTGATTGACTCTTGCAATGTGGGCTAAGGAGGACATCTGCAAGATGTCATTTTCATAAAAATGATATCAATAGTTACTTAGAAATATTGATATTATTTTTATGTGTTTCATAGTAATGGTAGATAATGTGTTCATAGTATTATAGTATAGTAATATTTTATGTGTTTCATAGTAGGATGACATTAAACTGTAAAACTACAGCATAAACAAAAATGAGTTTTTTCTTCTTTTATTTACTGTACAGAGTTGCCAACTCTCCCGATTTAGGCGGGAGACTCCCGATTTTCGACCGATCTCCCGCTAACCCGATTTACAATATATTTCTCCCGACATTTTCTTATTCTTAAAATTTCTCACGATTTTTATGGAACTTGGCTTAATACTTTGTTATATGAACAAAAGTGATTTGGACGTCTGAAGCATTGAATTTTCTCTAGATTATATCTAAAAACAAAACCTTACGAATCAGATAACTTATGCTTTGTGAGTGAGAGCATTATACGTATCCCAGAAACGTCGTTCTCCAGTTCTCCAATGGGTATCGAACTCCACTGCGTGTCAGCTGGCATATATTAGCCAATGAGGACAAGGCAAGCTGTTATTTTTTATGTTCTTTAGTTATTTCGTTCAATTTGTGCTGAGTTGTGTGAGTGCACGTACCTTCGGGAAATAGTTTTAGAAATTATCATCTTTTGTTATGTCTGTGAGAATGAAATACTCGTGTACGTTTCAAAAATCGTACGCAGTTGACTTTCCTTCCATTATTTCCTCAAGGAAATGTAATAAATTTGCGATGTGCACAGCCTGTCGTTGCGATTTTTTGAATTCGCAATGTGGAAGGGCGGATGTTCTCAAACATGTGCGAACACAAAAACACAAGGATAACATGAGTTGTTTTTAAAAAAAAACGAAAAATTTAATTTTTCTTTGGAAACAAAGGACCAAAAAGTTATTAATGCAGAATGTCTGTTCTCTGCCTTTTTACTGGAGCACAACCTGCCACTGAATACATCGGATCACACTGCAGCTTTATTTAGAAAAATGTTTCCCGATAGTGAAATTGCTAAGAAATACTCAAGTGCAAGAACCAAAACAGGTGCAATTGTTAAAGAAATGAGTTTGAAAAATAAATCTTCAGTTATTGATTGCACAAAACAGCTCCGTTCTGCCTCTCTACGGACAGAAGCAATAATACCGATTCAAAACTGTATCCAATTGTTGTTTCTTTTTTTAATCCAGATTCTTAAGAAATTGAGTGCAGTTTACTTTCTGTCCCCATTTTAGAAGGACATTTGACAGGCTTTAATATACCACAGCTAATTATTAAACTTTAAAAGAAAATGCAAGCCTTCTGGATAATTGCTTAGCATTTGGTGTCGATAATGCACCAGTATTGGTAGGCTTGAAGACTGGTGTTGCAGGCATCTTAAGAAAGGAAAATTCAGATTTGCAGATTATGAGGTGCACCTGTCACCTCTTAAATTTAGCAGCTGAAAAAGGGGCAGTTTCTTTACCAATAAATGTGGATGAACACATTGTTGATATTATATTATCTTGAAAGGAGTTCTAAAAGGAAGGAAAATTGAAACAGTTCCAACAGCTGCATAAGAGCAGTTTACAATTAGAAAACTTGAAGTTATAAAATCAGCTAGGATTGACACCCAGTGGAGTTTAATTGGAAACTGAAAGGTGCTGATGGAATTTTAAAATATAGCCAACTGTCTAGAATTGTGTTGGCCATCTTGACAGTTCCCCATAGTAGTGCAGAGTGTGAGAGGATTTTCAATGTTGTTGCGTAAACGAGGACTAAATTTAGATCTAATATTAGTGATGACACATTAGAAAAACTTTTCTTAGCGAAAGCAGGCCTACATGTCAATTGCAGTGAACAAAATTAGTTCTTTAAGAAAGAAACTTCCTAATTTTCTAAACTAAAATTCCCTCCTTTTTTTTTTTTTTTTTTTTTCCGTAAACGATGCAAGTATAAAAATGTTTTTTTATGGTAAGGTATTTTTTGTGTTGCTTGCATTTAAGAATTAGTTACTATTTAAAGTTAATTCATTATTAAAAATCATATTTTTATCATTTAAAAAGTCTTTTTAACATTGTGAAAAATCTCCTGATTTCTTAAAAAAATCTCCTGATTTTTGAGTGTCATAGGTTGGCAAGTATGACTGTGTTATGTCATCTTAAAAACCATCAGGTTTTTTGTTACTCTTTTGTTATTGGGACCAGATTCAAAAATGTAAATACGAATGCATATGTGTGTGTACACACACTTATTAACTTATGTAACACACACTTATGTAAGTGCATACATGAAACATCCATCCATACATACATGCATATATACAATACATTTCTGAATCTGGTTCTGATAACAGAAGAGTACCGGTTTTTCAGCCCCTTCCTGTATAAAAAACAAATTGGAAATACATACTATTTATGGAAAAGCTACTTATGATGTCTACTTATGATATGAAATTAAAAGATAAACTGAAATCAAAACAGCATATTATGAAAAGAATTTTACCATCCTAGAAACATGAATCTACATAAAAAATATGACTGAAATTTATAAAGATCCACTTCATATTGATGCAACGAAATTAACTTTTTTATTCTTATAAAAGGCTTTTCTTAGAAAATATTAAAACAAACCCATATAATATAAAACTGTTAGAAATTTCTCAATTTTTTCATACAAAGCTTTGAAAATTCATAAATATAATTACAACAAAATTTAAACTATGAAAGAATAGATGGCCAAGAGAGCCATAAAAAGTATGATACAATAATTATATAATTCTGTATCAGTTATCAAAATATGAACAGGAATCAACTGACATTATCTGAATCTCTGCACATGTATAACAAAACTGACTCGTTTAAATGATATTGACCACTCACATAAAAATTAATCATTTGGAATTCTAGTTCAGACATTGATACTAAAAATTAGAATGTATTCCAAACTAACATTTTGAAAATCATGAGTTTTTTAATTAATTCATGAGAGAAAAAGAAAATGGAGCAACAAATAACTTATATGCTGAAAAAATACTATCAATGACAAATATAAAGAGGAAAAAATTGTGCATAAAATAAGCAAAAATTATGTTTGAAATAAACCTTTTATAAAACAAAAATTACAAATTCCTTAAATGAATATCCACTGCAATCTGCATTGCATTATTAAATTTACACTTTTTTCAAATGAAAATTTATAAATTATTGTTTTAGTATAAGTTTTAGTAATTAAATAATATATTGATATGAATAACTGGAAACAAATCTTAAATTTTTATTTATATTAAATATGTTGATAAAAACATCACAAAAAATCTTCAATAATAAAATAATCACAAAAAAACTTCCTGAAGAATTTAATTAGTGTAAACAGGAAATATTACATTGCTAATATATAATTTATTATTTCAGAAAGAATGTATTTCAAAACAACCAAAATTTTATTTTATTTTTCTAAGTATATGTATTTTATGGTAGAGAAAATTAATAACATAAACACTTAAGGTTATACCAGAGGCAGCTGAACAGAGAGATAATTTTGATGTTCTAATAACATTTTATGCTGAGATTCTCAAAATTTATTGACAAAAATAAATAAAATAAACTACACATATTCCAAATATGTACAGAATGTGTGTGTGTGTGTGTGATTATGGCAAAGCCTCAAGGGCTATCTGCCTAAAGGGAGGGGTGCCTTTGTGGAGGACTTCCTAAGGGAAATTGGCTCGTATACACGTTACACATAGGGAAAACCACAAAAAGGCCCACACAGCCAGCCCGTTCGCGGGATTCAAACCTCGGACAAAATTACCAGTGTTCAGTGACTTTATCGCTCGGCCGCTGTACAGAATGTAACATCTGAGCATTGAAAAATTTGGATAAAATAAAAGAAAGAAATTAAAGTAAAATTCATTTTACTGGAAAGCTTCAGACCTTGTTAGACTAACATTAGGTATTTAAAAGTCTAACATGGTCTGGGTTTGCTAGTCAAGACTGCTTAAAATTTTTTATTTCTATTTTTAATGTTTCTGTCCACAGTTGTTGTACTGGCATATGTATTGCTTACATATTGTTTTCCTCCAGCATATCTGATCAACTTATTTTTAATTTTGTTACACAGATTTTAGTAATCTCTGAGCAAAATGTTCTGGACATGCACATTTATTTTTATTTGAAATACAAATTAGCTATATTTTTAAATAATGTAGATTTTTTTTAATAACAAACTCATTTTAATGCAGTTTCTCTTTCCATATATAAGTGACTCGTTAGAGTAACTACAGAAGTTAACTGAAGGGAACAATAAGAAGCTTCACTATTTGTGTTGCATTCTGCATAAACACAAAATCTAAATTTCGTCAAGTCTTGAAAATAGGCTTTTATAAACAAGAAGACCATATATAAAATTCTACTTATAATTCTACTATTCAACATAAAAATTCAGATATTTAATCAGCACACTAAAAATATGTTTTTAACTAAAATACAGCAGAAAGCTTTGCTTGAAGTTTTTAGAGTGATAGCACAAAGAGAAACATACCTTCCCAGAAATTTCAATGCCAATTTCATCTAACACTTGGTTGACAACTGCATCCTGTTCTTCTTCATCTCCAGATTCATCCAAGACTGCATTTAAGCTGTCTTCAACTGGAAAGTTAATATATTCACAAATTATTTTAACTCCTATTAAATAAGTCCCTTCTGTTTAATAATCTAAAATGCTTAAAACTCACTCTGATATATATATAAAATACCAGTGTAAAATACAAAATTGGAAATACATAACTATTAATATTTTTATATCACTTGAAAAATTTCTATGCCCCTTTCTGAACAAATATTCTAGATATAAAATGATATTTATTCAGAAAGTGGAAGATATTCTAGATATAGAATGATTATGCATGCACAGGAAATGCACGAATAAGATATTTTAAAGAAGAGATATGGAACTGCTCAATGTTATAATGGAGAAAATAAGTTACATAACATTTTATTAATAATGGAGAAAAATGAAAGCAATAAATGAAACGTTTTTCCTTGTTCACATGACAAAAAATTCCAATAAATAAAGATTTAATGAGGATGCAATGCCTATTATAAAATTTACTCACTTATACCAGATTATCCCTATAAAATTCTAGAAATTATGTAAAATTCTAGAAAGCATTTAAAAAATAAATAATAATTATAAAAATATTTGCACACATCACAGAAAAAATATTTTCCAGATGAATTTTATATTCCATTACTGAACTAAAACACAAAGATACTAATTACAGATTTCTGTTTCCTAATTCATTTATCCAAGGTATGCATTACCAGTTACAAACTTTTTAAATGGGAGTAGAATACTTTACAGATAAAGTGAGAGTGGAATAGTCAGTAAGTATAAAATTTAACCTTTTTTATGGTCTGTATAGAGTAAAAATTTCAGTCAGCACAATATTCTTATGCATTGATATGGTATATACAATTTAACACTTTAGTGAAAATATTCAAGGATAAATTTATTAACTTCAGCAATTTTTTATGCCTTTTACAGACAGAAATGTTGGAGAAAATATAAAAGAAAAGTTTTAGTTTATTAAGTGATTTTCTACTGAGGAAATAAAGTACTCCTCATTAAAAATGTAGTCAAACTATGAAAATATTAGTATTGTATATCTTTGTGAACTTTGTACTCGTATATAAAGTTATGGAACAAAGAGCTAAGTAATTACATACATCATTATTCATCCCAAATATCATATATTATACATATATATTTATAAAACCAAGATAAAAATTATTAGATATATTAACAATAAAAACCATTATTAAGATTTATTAGAAGAATGTATTAAACACTTTTAAAAACTATAAATGAGAGGTCAAAGAGGAAATAACTCAGTTTACTCAATTCAAAATAAAAATTGCTTTATCAAAATAAATTATTATTTCATTTTTCATGTACTATGTTTCAAAGATTGTGATTTCTTTGAAATGGCTTAGTGACAAAAAAATAGAGAGATGCACATTATTTTATATTTAAGGACTCTTTGAAGAAAGTCTATGACAGTGATTTCAAATTTAAATTGCATGCCTGCTAAATGCTCAATTTGAAAGCAGATGGCATGCCACGATTTTTTTAACAAAATTTTAAAAATATTTTTAACAAAACAAAGAATTGAACGTTTCAAATTTTGCTTACTGAATATTTATCAAAACATACATAAACAATAACAATATAAAAGAAAAAATTCAAATTCGTATTTATTTTCTATCTGAAATCTAAAGGTTGGCATTTGCAAGAAATATCTATTGATTATACTTCTAATTTAAATGTATTTACAGCTAAATATTAAATTTTAGACTGACTTCTTTTCAGGTAATTCCAATATGTTGAGTTTTAACAGCTAAATAATTTACTTTTAACTTTAACCTCAAAACTCTAAATTTCATAATACTGAAATGCCACCAGCTACTGACTGGCAAAATAAATTTATTAACAGTAACAATGTGGAAAATTCTGGTATCTTACCCTAATCACATGGCCTAGCATACAAGCTTACAGTGGAGAAGACAAAACCCCAACCTACTGATACTATTTTTCCTTCAATAGCAGTTGTGCACATAATTTTAGTGATGTTAGTAAATATACTAACATCACTAAAATTATAAGCACCATATTTGCAACAAATACATAATTGAAATGAATATGTAGGCTATATAAAATTGTTTTGGGATACAAATTTGAAACCACTGGTCAAAAGCATATTTTTTTAAAAAGCGATTTTGTCTTTTTGGTCTAGGAATAATATTTGGCTTCAGTTTATCAAGGAAAAGGAAATAATTTTGGCAATTCAGTTGCATTTAAGAAAAGGCACTTTCTGATAATCTTCATTCTTCACCAAAGAGTCATAAACCTTTCGAGGACATTGGACAGCATTTGTGAATTCACTGACTCATTTTTCGCCAAACTAATGCATGAAAGGTAACAGTCATTTTCAAAATGGTGGCACACTAAGAATTCCACACAATAGCAATCAATCTATAAAATCAAACAAGCACATAACATTAGTAATAAAACAGATATATATTTAAAGAAATCCTTTTTGGTACTGTTGTTTTTCCCGTGTACAAAAAAATACGTTTCTGCTTTAAAAAAAAATCAGAGATTTGAAAAAATTCAGCATTGCATAAATATTGCATTGCACACCAATCAAAAGCAACTTTGCTCACCACCAAATCAATGTGCTATGCGCATACCTGGGTTATCACATATACTTTTTGGTGACATCAAGGGTTGCACCATATAAATTTTTTAGTGGCATATTGTTTTGCCTCATGAATACATTTTCATGCCTTTTTTGCAGGGATACAAATAATCAGAAAGTACAGAGAAATGTTTAAAATACTGAATTTTTGAAGTTAAAGAATTCTGACTCATTAAGAAAAATTAAAGAAGTCTCCAAACAGCAGAGCACTAGAGCAGGGGTCTCCAAACTCCAAACTAGAGCAGGAGTCTCCAAACTACGGCCCGCGGACAGATTTTGTCCAGCCCACGGAGAGCTAGCATACTTGAAAACTCCTTTTAGAGAACATATTTTTTATAGCAAATTAAATTTAGTTTACTGAAGTATTCTAATTTTATGTTGAATAATTATTAATATGACATCTACATTGATATGGTCATGGGCTAACTACTCATAACATTGTTGTAGGCTTATTGTTATTGTTTTTGTGATAAGTTGGATAAAGAAACACAGAATTGTAATGAGTAAAGACATGTATAATATGCAGAAAATTTAACTTCAGTATATAATAACTAACAAATTATTGAAATGAATCCAACTAACATTTTATACATTTTAAATAAAAACATAACTTATAACAAGCATAATGACATATGAAATACTAATGAGATTTATGTAATTGAGATTTTCCACTGACAATAGTTTGTAGTTGTGGACTAATTTTACTTGTACCAATTATTAAAAGAGACTTAAGATGCTCATCAGTTAATTTAGATCTGTAAACACTTTTTGTGTACTTCATTTTGGAGAAGGTCTTCTCACGCAAATAAGTAGTACCAAAAACAGAAAACAGCCCACAAGCAAATTTATGCAAATTATCAAATTGTGTCAGTGGAAGACTCTTATAAAATTCCAACAAAGAAGAGTTTTGATATTTGTTCTTAATTATATCACTGCACTGTAGATCAATCATTTCCATTTGAAGTTCCGGGGCTAGGGTTTCAATGTCAGTATCAAAAGGATTCTGAAAAATCTTAATTTGATTTGCAATGGCATCAAAGTCCGAGAAACGAGTATCAAAATTTATTTTTAAGCACTCAAAGTTTCGATTGCAAAATCGATAGGAAACTCAGTCTCAGTGGTGTGGCTGAATATTTCACATGTTTTAAAATGTGAAAAATATTTACTTCATAGTTGTGATTGAAACAGTATCAATTTCTTCTGGAATGATTTGATATTAGTGTATAAATCATGAAGATGCTGGTTTTCTCCTTGCAATCTCAAATTCAGTTCGTTCACATGTTTTGTCAAATCAACATAGAATGCTAACTTCCACAGCCATGCATTGTTTTGAAATTCAGTAAGAGGGCGATGCTTTTCATTCAAAAAAATTTCGATCACTGCTCGAAGTTCAAAAAAGTGCTGAAGGACTTTCCCACAACTAAGCCAACGTATGGCAGTATGATAAGGTAAGTCATTTTCTCCAATCTCTTCAATAAATTGTCGGAATTGTCGGTGATTCAGCCCAAAAGATCTGATAAAATTAACAGTTGATATGACTGGTTTCAGAACTTCAGACATATCCAAACATTTTCCGCACAAAGACTGTTGATGAATGATACAATGTAAGACTAATGGTTTTGAACTACCGTCATTTTCTACAGCCTTTGACACAAGAGCGACCACACCTTTATCTTTCCCACTCATGTTTTTGCATCCATCAGTTGTAATACATTTCAAGTTTTTCCATCGAAGGTTCTTTTGATTAATGGCCATTTCAACTCCTTTAAAAATATCTGTACCAGTAGTTGTGCCATGAATACTATACATATCAAGAAGTTCTTCATGCACTTCATAGCTTTTATCTACTCCTCGAATATAAATCACACCTGAGCAGTATCTGACACATCCGTTGACTCATCCAAGGCCAAAGAAAACCACTCAACATGTCCATTTTTGTCGAACAGTTTGAGAGGATATATTTTCAGTGATGTTTCTACCCTTTGAGCCACAGTGTTTGCTGACATACTGACAGTTTTTAATAAATTTACCTTTTCAGGGCATATTTCTTCGGCTACTGCAATTATGCATTCTTTGATCATTTCTCCATCGGTGAATGGTTTTCCACATTTTGCAATTTCAAGAGCCACACGAAAGCTGACACGAGTTGCAGCCTCTTGTTCAGTTTTGAGTTTTGTAAATGAAGATTGCTGCGATTTCAATCTGCGCTTCATAGCTTCGAATTTTTCTGTGCGCAAACTTCCTGTATATTTTGAGTAATTTTGAAAATGTTTTGTTTCATAATGACGTTTAATGTTATATTCTTTGAGAACGGCTATGATTTCATTGCAAATCAAACATACCACCTTGTTACTGGACTCAATCATGAAATACTGAATGTTCCACTGATCTTTGAATTTTCTGCATTCACTATCAATTTTTCGCTTCTTTTCCATACTACTAAATCACACACAAAAGCAACAATTCAAATCAAAATACTGTTACAAAGATGTCTTAAACTTAAACATGCACAAACACGTTTTAAGGAGGTACGCACTATTTTATTTCACAACAATGTCATAGGAACTGACTTCTGTACGTGCTATTAGTGCCATCTGTTAGCGATAGAAGGTACTACCTATTTCCGCTTGTGTCCACCAGATGTCGTGTCACGTTACTCCTCATGGCTCGTACTCTACGACTAATCTAGAAATTACAGATAATGACAGGAAAATTAATAATATGCAGTGTTGCCATTTTGCGGACTTTAGTCCGATTTGCAGCCTTTTTTAAACGTTGCGTACTTTTTCGGACATTTTTTTTCATCAGTGGACTATTTCACTTTTTACCACCGGCAACAATGATAATATGGTTTTGGCCCTCGGAACTTACTGGAGTAATCAGTATGGCCCTAAGGCTGGAAAGTTTGGAGACCCCTGTTCTAGAGTAATTCTGAAATATTCCTAAAAAAATCAAAAGTAATTTTATGTAATATACACAGAAAGAAACAAACCTATTTCTTCTGTCATGCCCATTTTCATTGACTCCTTTTCAAAATCTTGCATTGTTTTCATTATGCCTTGAGGATTCATTTCTCTATTTACTGCACCCATAGTCTACGGAAGTAAAGTGTAATAAGTGAAGTAAAGTTTAGAGAGGTAAAGTAATTTAAGTATACAATAAATAATTAATGAAATATATTTAAAAATCATGTAAAAATGCTATATTTTCATTTTAAAAGAAGTAAAAATTAAATGCTTTCGATTTTGCAAGGGCATTTACTAATTACCTGTATGCACATTTTAACAAAACTGAATCTCTTGTTGTCAAAATCAGAAATCTGGAACCATTACCAAGAATAATATTTAAAAAGTGATATGTCTAATGAGAACAAAAAATTTAATGCTACAGAATGAAAACTTACTTTATGCATAAGCAACCGATATTTCATTACAAGCTAACCAAAGACTTAAAATGCTGACAAAAAAAAAAAAAAAAAAAATCCAACATTCAATACTTATTATATACTCAACATTCGATACTTATTATTATAGCTTGTTACATTTCAGTTCACTGTTTATCTGTTTTACTAACCCTGCTTCTGATCATGCAATTTACAGATTCGCACATGAATTACAATTATTTTCAAACATTATTTGGTACTCACATATTAATGCAACCACCTTGGCAAAATATGGCAATTTTTTACATATGAAAAGATAAAAGTTATTTATCACATCTGAGTTGATGGTTTTTTGTACCTTTTTTTAAGAAAGGTTCTCAAGTTATTGATATTTATCATAAATTGGTAAACATTATCAACATATAAAAAGAAAACGTACTTTAGCAATTTGAATTATTAAATAAAGATTACATAACACATTATAAAAATAAAACACTAACATTCTTCTTCAAATCTGCCTGTAATTCTTTTGCATTATTGGACTTCTTAAATATGTGTCAAGAATGCTTCCCATTACATAACAAAGTCATGAGGAAAGGACAGAGAAAATACCTTGCATACTTTCTTTTAAAGGGAGAATGGGGATGAGGGAAAAAATCGCCAAATCCTAGTGGTGACAAAGTATTATCCAACACCTTTTAGTTTGAATGCCATTTGTAAAGTCAATGGGATTTTTTAGCAAGAGACATAAAAAATGTGCAATGCCCTCACCAGGACTCAAACACTGAACCTCTCGAATATGCATTTAGTATGCTTCCAATTACACCATGAAGAGATGCAAAAAGGAAGGAGAAATAACTTATACATTTCTCAGAAACAAATCTGCAAAAGATTTAAAGATTGATTACATTAAGGATTATCTCAATAAGATAATCAAAAATTCCTACTGTAATGCTGAAACAAACTTTGCTGAAATCTTCAACTATGAAGTTATTCCAGAGGATGACTTTTCCAGGCCTTACACAGCACATATATTTAACATGTTGACATTTAATATTAAATCTCTATATATAATTGTTTGCTTACATCATTATCGCTCCTTCTTAATTTCAGGTGTCTTCAATTTTATCCCACTACTTTTCATGTCAATATTAGCACAGCAGATAGCAGCATGACCAAAGACTTCACTTAGTATTGAAGAGGTTTAGGTCAATGTTTCGAGCCTCTCTGACAGCACTTTTATATTTTTCTTCTCCCATTCATAAAAGCTCACTTTTACTTCGTCGAGCTTCTATTCTGTATCATTCATTAATAATTATATTTTTTCCTGCACCTGTGTCTCTACAAATATTTTTTAAAGATTCAAAGCTATGAAGTTCTGATGCAAAACATGAGCTCCACTCAGTAAGCAGCTTCATGTCTCTGAACTTTCCTTCCGAGTCCTATGGATTTAAGATTTATCATCCCTGATCATGTACATAATTTTATTTTCTCAATTTAAATTGTCCTTTATTATTCCACAACAGTGCCTAATTTGTTATGCACCATGAAGTGGGTAGTAAATTCCAGTACTGCCAACTCTAAATGAAACAAGAGTATCCAAAAAAATTTAATAAATTTCAAAAGAGGAACTTATCATAAACATGGGAGAAATATCACATAAGAATATTTTAGGAAATAATATGAAATAAGGTTAACTCATGATTCCACATTACATACAACTACAGCATTAATTTAAAGCAATTCAGAAACCTAAATACGAGTGAAAAAACAATAAAGTCTATTTCGGAATGTTTTTCCAAGTCCTGAGTAAATAAATTCTTGGGTATCTGGGTTTATCTAAATAAAAAAATAGCAATTCTTCATCTAAACAGTATTAAATATTTTTCTTTTGGTTTATGATTAGTGTTAAAAAATTTATTTTGTGCATATGAAAAGAAATTTCGGTACTCCTTTGTTATCAAAACCGTATTCAGAGATGTATGTATGCATGTATTTGCGTATGCTTGTTTATATATATTTACATATGTATGTGTATATACACATACACATAAATATACATGCATGCATACATACATACATTTCTGAATCCAGCCCTTATAACAGAATAAATAGTACCGAAGTTTATGTTAAATTTTTCATCTTCAATGCAGTGCACTCCTCAGCAGATATGCGTGGCTGAAATCTGTATTTATGGTCAAGTAAGTTACCATCTAGGAAAAATGTCTACTGCACACGTGTCAAGCATAAACAGCTAAAACAAATGCTACTTTGCTTGACTATAGGACTGTAATGAGCATGGTTGCCAGAGTTTGGCCCATTCTGAAAAATGTGACAATTTCTACTAAGGTAGTTGCATATATTGCATAATATCTGAGTACTCTTTATTTATTATTTAATAACAAATTAAAAGAGAAAAATGATATATACTAGTTTCTAAAATAAATTACCTTAGTAGTAGTTGCCATAGTATTTGCAAGTTTTGAACTGGAATGCATACTCTAAAATAAAAAATGTAATGAGGTTATTGGGGAAATATACGCATGAATTGTGTGAAAATATATACATGAATTATAAAGAGAAAATACTACAAACTTAATTTTGAAAAAAAAAACCCTAGAAAAATAAAGTTGTGGTAAATTCTAAAATGATATAAAAGAAGTAATTTTTAACATTACTAGAAACAGTCATAATCAATACAAATGTTATGTGGCAAATACTTGCATCTTTATTTGAAATGAATAACATTAAAATAACATATAAAACTTTCAAAATAAATTGGATTTTTAAAGTTATTGTCTAAGTCCATCTACTATGTATTCAAGTCCATCTGCTATAGAATTACTTAGTGACTTTGTTACTTAACTTTCTAAAACCTTATATACGTGTTATTGAACATTCAAAAATAAAAGAAGAATGTTCTTTTCAAGTTTAGTCTTCTGTTCATTCCCCTTTTCTTATTACAAAGAAATTTAAAACAATGTTAATAAAAATATTTTGACATTAAAGCATCAAAGTTATATAAATACACATATTCATATACAACTCAAGTATTCATTTGAGTGTGCATTATGGCATATATTCAATGCCATAATACACACCAAGAAATAATTATTCCATTGTAACTAAACTTGGCATGAATGTACACAGCGTCAAACAAAAGGACAGTTCTACATCTCCCATTTTACTGGGATGATCAATGAAATTCACCTCGAAAGCACAACTTAGAATATATATTAGATTTATATCTAGCATTGTTCTAACATACATATTCTGACAAAAAAAATCGGACATTCTGAAATGACATACTAATTTTTTTCCTTGTTTCAATCCAACATGTTAAATTATGGCAAAGTGCTGCATTACATTCGAACAAAATCGCCTAGGTAGTTTTTTTTTTAAATTGGGTTTGAAAAATTTAGCCACCCAATATCAATCGAATTTGGTATATATTTCTTAATATCTCTTTTTATTGTTATTATTAAACTTAACTTGATTCCTTCTTTTAGAATTCAAAACTTAGGTTCAATCCAAATAAAATTCATGCACTTTTTATGATTTATTTTTTTAAATTTGTATTTTTAAAGAATTTTGAATTATAACCTATCTAGTTATATCTGCAAAAAATTAAGTTTTTTTATTCAAAATTTCCCAAGATATATGTTAATTGTGAATTCATATAATGGTGCATTTTGAAATTTGGCATATTTGCTATAAACGATAATAACACCAAATGTGGTTTAAGTATTTTGTTATAATCTTTAATGAATTATTTTGAACCTTAAATTTCCAAATAAACTTTTACTGAGGATCATTCATGAGGAATTTATTTTCATTTTTATTAATAATGCTTAATAAATATTTATTAACAATACATTGAAAAGCTATTTTTTAAAATCATTAAGAATATTAATCAAAAATTTAAAGAGTTTTTTGCTTTCATAAGAGTAAATTTTTACCTTTACCATTTTATTTTCTGCTATTTTACTTAACTTCATTTTATATGCAATGAAATTAATTTTGCTAACTTAACATTAAAATTATGCATCAGATATGCATTCAATATTTCCGAGTGTTTCAAACAATATGTCAAAAATATACATAAAACATGATATCTTCTACTACAGAAATATTTAACAGCAGCAGATTTACTAGAATATAAGATTTTTATCTTATTTTCTGTGTGAAGCAAAGGCAGTAAATAAAAATGATTTTAAAGATGTGTCAAGACCAAAGATAATTCACAACCTTTACTGCATACTGATTTCTTAAACAAGCTGCCATTACATTTGAGAGAGCCCCTATTTATAAGACCCTTTTTTTCCAAGGTAAAATATGTTTTATGTAAACACGTTTTTAAAGACGTTATGTTATAATAAATGTTAGAATAAACACATTAGGATAAACACATTTTTAAAAGTAAAATAGTGATTTGTCAAGACCTCAATTCTAATCATTACATTCAGTGACTTTCTGCTTTTCTTAGTTTAGAAACATGCATTTACAAATCATGCTTGTTCGATTATTTAAATATGGCAAAGCACATCGGAAACTACTATCTGCCTAAAAGAAAAAATAACTTCATGGGGGACTTTTCTAATAAAAAATGGCTCATGTTCATGTAGCAGATGGTGAAATCACAAAAACCTTGCAGCCAGCTCATTCACCTGGGTTGGTTTCCAAGACAAATGATAAGCAATCTTTAACTGCTCAGCCACTAGTGGCATGGTTTAAATTATGAGCTAGGTTATTAGATTTGTAAAGTATCTTATGTAAATACCATAACAAGTTATTATGGATTTAAATCTTTACTGTAACTTCTCCTTTTCACATTACGCACCAGAATGCAAATTAGCTTTGTATGTATTTTAGCTGACGATTTTTAATCTTCAGCTAAGAGAGCTTCTGGTAATTGTATGTTGCTGTTAGTACTTTTAGTCAGCTCTGTTTAAAAATTATATTCTGGATTTAGCATTCTTGCCACCCGATGCTTAAAATACATTGTCTGTTCTGTTAATTTAAAATATTCATAAGTTGTGGAAATTTTATCTGTAGTACAAGTTGTGCCTTTTTGTTCAAACTGAGAGTAAAATAGAAAGGCTATTTAAATCTTCTTTCTATATATTGTGAGTTGTTTAAGATGTAGTGCACATGTGCTGTCTGTCTAATAGAGTCTGTGGGATTTTAATTCTAGTTTCCAGTTATAATAGCAATCCTACACATTCTAATTTATTATTTGATTTAAAGTGTATTATCCTTCTCAGGCATAAAAACATTTGTTAACATGCTAAGTTTTACACTACCAAGCCATAGTGCAAATGAACATTTAGTTATATTTGCTATTATTTATTGTATTCACTTGGTGTTCTTGGAAGCTAAGCTAAAGATAGGAAAAGACTGGAAGAAGCATTACACATTAAAAAGAATAAACTGGCTAATATATTCTACTAGGGCAAATCTAAAGCATGGGCTGGCAAGAGTCTTAAACCAGAATATAATTTTTAAACAGAGATGGTTAAAAATACTAACAGCGAGACTCGGAAGCACTCTGAACTAAAAAAGCACACAAATCTAGGAACGTTGCAGAAAACAGCTGTTTCAAAAGTGACTATTATATAGCAAATAAAAAAGGAAGGACAATTATAGATATATCTGTAGAATGTCTCAAGAAAATTGTTAAGGCATTGTTAATTGTTAAGCTTTCTTCAGGCAATTAAGAAGAAAAATTTAAGGCATTAAGAAAATATTTAATTTTTTAATGATTTTTATTTATTTATAAGCATAAAATTTAGAATTTTGTGCATTATACTATTTGATTTTTGTGACTTAAAAAAATGAAAAATTTGAACTTATTCCAAAATCTGGATAATATTTTTACAAACTAAATGTAGGATGACATAATTGCAGAAAGTAATGGGATAAAATCATGGCAAATTGTTTATATGCATATCCTTCTAAATTAAAATGTAGGTAATACAATTTTCTCATTTATACGTCTTTTTAGAAGAATTAACCGAGCTTTATGGTATCTTCTTTTTTAATACAAAATACAATTTTCAAAGGCTTTCTGACTACTGGGTTATAAAATATTCTTTTGAAAGAAATACTATTCAAATAAAACCAAATTAAAAAAAAGATATTTATATGAATAAACATGTTTAAAGTACACAATGTGAATGAATAAACAGAATTTTAAAAATAACTATTTGAAGAACTGTAACTTAACCACACAAATAAGTAAAAAATTCTAAAAAGAAAAAGGTGTCTAAAAATAACAACTATGATTAAAAAATATAATATGAAGTAAAATGATATGTACGAGAGAAAAAACAATACTTTTTTTCTGCTCGTACAGAATGAAAGAACAATTGAAATAGGTTGCCATAAGTTAGCAAAGTAAATTACTCTTGGCACAAAATTTTAAAAAAAGTATACCGAGGTAAATTCCAAATTACTGATTAAATTTCACAACAAATTTTACAAAAATGTACATATCAGGCAGATATGCAACTGATTGTGCATTGCATATGTCACCAGAAGGGTTGAATTTACTTAAAAGAGGGATGCAGAAAAAAATTTGCCTGTAATTAATCTGTTGCAGAGGGCCTTTTTTAACAAGGAATGTCTTTATACTACTATCGAAGACAATATGATAGGCTATCAGAGTTTGAGAGGGGAAGAGGATGGAAGTTGGTGGTCAGCTCAGTGAGTAATCTGAGCCACTTAGGCCATTCTGACTTAATTTTAAGGAGGTGTTGAGACCAGAGAATGAAAGAGCAGTCTTGTACATGGCGGCTATGCTTGAGATACCCTCAGCATGCCAGTTGCCAAGAGAATCATGACATCACTTCACTCACACAGTCTGACTGCACTTGTCTGCCATTTGGACATAGGCAACACTTTCAATAAAGCCCCCTATACCTGCCCACTTGCAAGATCCCTGGCTGAAGGCCATTTAGTTTTGCATCCCCATTATGTGTCCAGCCAATGACACCATGCACCATTGATTACGACTGAAGTGATGTCATGCTCTACGGAACCAGATTGCAACTGAATAGAACTATGTTGTTTTCAGCGACAAACAGATTCAACTTGGGCTGTGATAATAACAGCAGACCTTTGTGGAAGCCTCAATCTTGCCTTCACTTTAGAATGACATGTACAGACACATTGGCCTTTACTCAAAGTGCTGCCTGTGTCCAGATGGCACACGATGTAGTCAAACTATGTGCCTACATTTTACAGTGGCACACCACTTCCACAGCAGGTGTGATTGTATGTGATGCCATCACATTCAACATTTTGTCAATTCTAATATTGATCCATGGCACTATGATGGATAAGTGCTATCTCAGCATGTCTTTGCGACAACAAGCTGGAGAGCATAGAGGTTTGGTTAAACCAGAAGCGCACTTACAACAATTGTGAAATAAGATATTGCAGTACAGAATATGGAGCCTATATGTCTCAATGATTGCCCATACCATAGAGTTTATTCATTCAAGAGCAGTCCAACAGGGCACTAGAACCTCCAAATTTTCGTAGTTTTTCCTATAAAAAATTACCCTTTGCATTTTATTTTGTAACAACTTATATCAGCATTGCACTTACATATATAAGATTTTGTCCCATTCTTGATGCACAAATTTGTATGACAAACTCTTCTAATATTATCATACTTCATAATCATTTATAATTTATATATAAATGTTAAAGTTTCTTTACTCAGACGGTTAATGAAAAGTATTGCAAGGCTCCACATGAAAAGCAATTTAGATAAGTATTTCACATGATGCACATAATTTTTTTACTGAAAAGGAGGAATAGTGCACCAATGGCCTACACTATGGCAGTAGTTAACGTTACTTAAATAGTGTTGATAACTCACCTTTCTAAAAGCAAGCAAGTTCTCGAAGCATGCTGAATGCTAATTAGCATTTCACAAACAATCTCAGTGCTGCAGAAAAATGAATAATAGTAGTGAAGTTGTTCCATCAAACAACAATTCTGTCCCATTCATATAGCATTCCATGTTCTTCATATGGTACCTACCACCCAAATGAGGCAATCCTCACTTTTCACTAGCACTCCTGTACAGCCGCCTGGCAGCGTACAATGATATTTGTGGGCATGGGTTCTTATGCAATACTTAATCCTTATGATGTGCCCTATCTCCCCCAGAAGTTTGTTGCAACATTTATGGGACACCCTGTATATTATATAACATACAAACAAAATTTTCAGACCATTCTTGATGTAAACAAAATATTCAACTCTGACTAAATTTTATTATGAAGAAATATGCCATCTCCTTCGATTAATAATAAATATAAAAAATATTATACGTTAGTCAAAATTATACTGAGTAGAAATTTTGTTGCACAAAAACAAAAAATTTATATCACATAAATGAAGGGGACAATAAATGTTTTAACATGCAGCAATATCAATTATATATTTGCTAGTATTTTTTACTTTATATCCCTCTCCTTCATAAAAGTAACTATTTACCTTAGTTTGAGAACCAATAGACTGTATTTTTGAAGATGCAGTGTATGTTCTAGCTTTTTGCTTCCTGACTTGAATAAGATTCTTTGCCAAAACTGCACAGACCTAAAAATAATAACATGAATGTGTATTATCAAAAATAACATGATCTGCATAAGATAAAACTTGCAGAATTCCAATATAAATAAAATATTACCAAAATACAGATACTGCCACTGTATAAAACTTTTTGCAGCAGCTATATACTACAAAAATATATTAATGTCAAAAGTTCTATATAAATATGTACTTTATAGCTAAATGATTTTATGCCATCAAATAACTTAGTACCTAAATTTCAGATTGCATTAAATAATTCCAATTTGTATTAAATGGAGAACATTTGGAGATACCAATTCCAAAAGCTTGATGAAATGTCATCAAACTATTGGCATTCATGTCTCAATCTTTATCATTCCTTAATATCACTGTTAGGAAACATATTCACTAATGAAGTGCAGTTTCTTCTTCTTGGGAAATGGGGATTTGGCCCATAAATTGATGTAATTTTATTGCAATTTTTAATCAGTTTAACTTTACAAAACTAAATTTAGGTTTATTATTTTTTTTAAATCCATAAAAGGAACTTTCTGGTTACACACATGCCTTATTGAATATCACCATAAATTTCCATTTATTAGCAGCTAAGCGTTTTTCATACAATTTTCAATAATTTATTTTTCTTCCTACAGTACGCTTTGGCAAAAGCAGATGAATTTTAGTATTAAATTTCTCTTTTAACTACAAATCTTTATGAATGATTTTAATTACAGTGCCAGAAGATATTCCAAGTTCCAGTTCAACACATCTTTCAATCGGTGGATTTTCTTTCAGAGACTTCACTTTCTTCATATTTACCCACATTTGTACAACCTTAGGATGCGATTTTGCGCCCATCTTTTCCCTTTTTACTTTCAGCTAGATGCTTTATTACTTTGAAATTTAATATGTTAAAAATACCTTTCTTTGAGATGTAATAATCTCAGTTTTTATGCAGCTTTACAATTTATTGATACAAGCTATTTTTTTCTCAGAAAGTGTGCATTTACATACCCTTCAAGACATTTACCAATTTTAAGAGCCATTTCCAAAATCAATCTTTTACTCCGGTTACTCTTGTATTCCAGTCAAAACAAAACAACAGTGGGCGATTAGGTACTTTTCCATTTCACTGGCACAAATCTCACCAAGCAGACTTTATTGGTCATACAGTATACATACAGTATATGCATAAAAAATGTTAACAAATGTTAGTTCTAAGAATTTTTTATTTTGAAGGCATAAACATTTTAATATCGTTTAAAATTTTGTAAAAGGCCAATAAGTAGACAATAAATTTGTAAAAAGACATTAATTTAAGAGTTTACTATGCTTTCATGGTTCAACATTCTTATTTGTTGGTTCATATCACGTGACCCCAAGTGATCTCATCTCATGTAAACTACGCTGCAAAAATCTAATTGTCTCAGTAATTATCTATGTTAATTTCAAATTAAATCTTAATTTGTTATAGAAATTTAAATGCAAGAAATATTTCATTATTATACGAGTTATTATTATACGAATAGCTTACTCAGAAAGTTATGTAAAACCACAGTGCTTTACTTTGTCACTAGTGCATTCTCATGAGAATTGATGAATTTAACACTTGACTTTGCCTTTTCTATATTTTCTCCTTGGGTGAGCGGTGTGATTGCATCCTAATTCACTTAATTACTGAATAGCCTTATGGCATAAAACTGAAGTACCTGGTAAAAATTCTGTGTAATTAATTGTATGCCAGTATTGAAAGAAACAATCAATCTGGTAAGAAATGGCTGTGACTTGTTTTGAAAATGAGGCGTAAATGGTTACCAGTGAGGATATTGTGTTTGGCATCAGTTGTACCAGTATTGGAGACTTTATCGTCTGCGCCAGCAAAATGGAAATGTACCGATGGTTATATTAGAATGGTCATACACTGAATACAATTTTTGATTTAAATAGTATTTCAGAAAAGTTAAAACTTGCCTCATAAGTGAGAAACATTTTAGAGAGACTCTATAAACAGAAAAGAAATGAGTGATTGTAATAGTAATTATACAACAAAACTTTGATCTTAATTTTTGTAATCATTAATCAAATAATAATTTCTTTCCACTGTAATTAACAAAAACTTGTGCCAAATTAAAACCATTCTGAGCTCAGGAAAATTAACAGCATTAAGTTTCGCTTAGAATGAAATACTGTTTAAAAAATTCAATCTTCCAAATAGTTAGGAATCTGAAATAATGTAGAAAAAGAATATATATATATATGCTGTAACTGCAAAATGTTTACCACTGAATGTGTTAAAACATATAGATCTTAACGGTAAACCACTGAGCATTTTGATAAACAAGGAGGACATCCACTGCATCAATTGAGGTAAGAGAAACTAGGTCAAGAATTCTCTTCTTCCTCCCTTCGGAGTTCTGTATATGAGAATGGTGATGAATCATGAAGGGGCATAGGAAAATCTGCCGGCTATGCCTCTGATTCTTTCTCATATAATGAACTTTCTCTTGCTTTGCTAATTCACTAATGCTTTTCTGCTGTAAAAATAACTGACAACCTTAAAATTAACAATTTTAGTTTTGGTGTTCTCCCCCTAAATTCATCTGTTCTAACAAATTCGAGATCTTTCCATGATTATATAACAATCTCAAATTCACCAATCATAGCTTGTCTCTACAGTTACATCACACTTAGTATGTGTATAAATACCGTTGGTGAATTAATCACATCACTCTTCCTTTCCCTAACTGCTGCTCTATCAACACTTTGCCTTTGCTTAACTGCCTACATCATTTCTTTTAAAATCCAATGTACATAAAAATTTATTGTATTTCATTATGTTTTGATAAATATCTACTGAGATAATTTTATATGCATGGAAATAAAGATTGGGAATTCATCTAATAAATTTTTCTGTTGGTGTCATCCATTTGTCTTTCCAGCCTGCCACTATGCAATCACATTTATGCTTCAAAAACATTACTTATATATCTGCAAGATACAAGAAAATACGATAGCTGCCTTAAAAATAATTGGCGACCTCAAAATTAATGATTCTAGATTTGGTGCTCTCCCCCTAAATTCATCCGTTCTGCCAAATCTGATACCTTTCTATGTTATATAACAGTACGTGAAAAGGGAAATTAAAACTTATATTAACTAATCACAGCTTGTCTTTAGAATCACAGTGAGAGGAATTCCTATGGGAGCAAACAGTTCTACACAAATTTGTAACCTATTTCTTTTTACTTATGAATATAAATCCCCGAGTTTAATAGATGAATTAAAGCTATTTGCACATACATTTAGATCATAGATGATATTATAACTTTCAATAATCCTGCTTTGAGCAATTCAAATTTATCCAAATAGTTTAACATTAATAAAACGAATCATCAGATACTATTGAATCCTAACTGCAATTATTAAACAGCAAAATTAAAATATATGAGAACGAAGGAATTCCATTTTCATACTATTAAGTATAATTGGAACTCTAAATCTCTAGAAAAGTAATAGAAAACACATTTCATAGCCAAATAATCAGAATAAAAATATATGTACTGAAATAGAAAATTTAAAGGAAGAAATAATAAAGCTAATTAATGTTCAAATTAATAACCAAGTACTATTTTTTCCCCAATGGTTGGCTCTAGACATTTATACAGGCATTGGCCACTACTACTAAGGCCAGGAGTGGCAGTCTCTTTATTATGGAGGCAACTAATAGGTAGGATTATGGAGGCAGTCTGTTGCCTCCTATGAAGGGATGGACAAATTACATCTATGCCTTCTCCGGGATCAAACCTGTGGCCTTCAGTGTGGCAGTCAGAGTCATAAACCACTTTTCTGTTTGAGCAGCATTAATGTGACTATCAGTAATTTAAAAAATAAAAAAGGATACACTTGCTCGCTCATTTTTATAATTTTGTATCCAGATAGATATCACAGCAGAATATAAAAAATGTTTAAATTCATTTTTATACATTTAAACAGTAAACATATATGTGGCCAACTAGTCTTAAGTATCAAACATGAAAATTTTTTCATATCAGATATACCAATCTGTAGATGTTATATAACAGAAACTTTTATATTTATAGTTTACTGAAATTTAATAATAGCAAAGTAAATGTATATAAATATATTTGATTATTACCTCTTTATTTCCTTGTTTAGCTGCCTTTTTTATTTCCATTTCCTGCACACATTTAAAAAAAAGAAAAGAATTAATAAACTAAAGTATTTGAACTATAAAACATCTTTAAAACTTTAAAATATGGAAAATCATTGATTTTCCTCTTTTATAGTTCAGATTAATGAATGCCCCTATGCTTTTTTATTTCACATTACTTGAAATGATCAGTATACCTTTAGATTTACTAATTCTCTTTGCTGAAAGCCATTTTAAATCCCTTTTTTTATTAATAAATTAAGTTCATATTTAACTTAGTGACTCAGCAAAAATTTCGTTTCTAAGCTAAACAGAAAACCATTTAGCTAAAATGGATGCTGATTCTGAGTGGTTAATTTGAATAACTGTCAGTGAGAAAGCCATCTAGGAAATTAAAATATAATTTTTGATATTACAGACAACAGTAAGTTTTACATTTTTCAATATGTTAATGATATTGCTGATAAACAAAGTAATTTTCAAATAAATATAATTTCAAAAATGAAATTAAAGTCCAATCATAAAGCTATATTTACAAACATTTCAGTACAGGAAAGCCATCAACTTCAGTGCACCTTAACAGCAACAAGGCAGCAGACAAAATAATTTATCTCGCATAATGGCACACACTTTCAAGCATGATTCTAAGAATTAATTAGTGAAGCTAAAATCAGTGCTAACTATTAAGTGTTAACTAATAGTTAACATGTCCTTTCCTGTAATTAACACAGTAGAAGTCAATGTAAAGTGATTGGATTTCATAAATAAATATTATACAGTCAAAAGTCTTTAGTCCGGACCTCAAAGCTACAAACTTTATGCGCATGCGTCAACGCATTACCTTTACGCATGCGCGTATGCGTCTACACATGTGCATAGTACGTTTATGCATGCGCATTTAATGGACAACGGACGGTAAACAGCAAATATCTAATTATCTATTCATTATGTGCAGATTACATTGTTCCTTAATCTTCTATTGATTCCGGCTTATTATTTTTTGCAGACTGTTTAGGCAATTTTATAAAGTAGCCTGACTTTCGATTAGCAAAAGATTTCCGATTCTGGAGCTACCAAAGATCGACAAAGGAAAGCATTTCCGATTCCTCAAACAAAATGTGGATTGCTGCAAAAAAATGGATAACGTACCGTAACCCGCGATAGTCGAGATATTTTGGAAAGAAAGACTCAAAGTTGGGGGGGGGGTCGACTTATACGTGGGCCATAAAAAATTAAAAGAATCGGAAGTCAAAAATTTTTGTATATGCAGTTGTTTTCTTCCGCACTCGAATTGGACGACTTATCAAATAAGTCACTTACTGAAGTATTTCATGACTTAATTATGTAATGAACTACAGTGGTGGCCAAATTGTGGACACTTTTGGAAATTTTTTTTTTTGCCCCTGAAAATGCGAATGCCTGCGAAATAACCCTCTGAATGATTATAAAATCATTTAAAAATTTGTTTAGCAACGACTAGACGGCACGAAGATGATAGTTTGAAAGTGAAAATGACGACGAAGGCTGTTTATGATTGTAACAATACAGAGTTCGAGACTGAATATGCATGATGACGAGCCAATACCAGAAGAGTTCTATGAAATGTTTGGCATCTGACCAGAACACCGTTGAAGATTTTGATTTTTTAATTTACCAGGTGTTTTTATCATATTTACTTTTTTCTCAGATTATTTGAATAAATGTAGTACTAAAAAATTTTTCGAAGTTTTCAATCGTTTCGAAGGGAGATCGACTTTAAGCGGGTTTTCTTATTTTCTACGAATTTTTTATGTCGAAGTGGGGGGGGGGGGTTGACTTATACGTGGTATCGACTTATACGCGAGTATATACGGTATATCCTTTGATTCTCTAATCATTCCGAAATCTGTTTATCAATTTTACGCTGTTCTGTGGGGGGAGGAAACGATGCGGTGCGTCATGAACTGGAAGTTGATCTGTCAGCACTAACCTTATCTTCAGGGCAGATGTTTTTATTTTATTCGGCTTATAATTCCTTACTAAATGTAGTATTTCATCTGGATATACTCCGTCTTTGATATGATTTAAATCAAATTCCTCGTCATTATAATATCACAATACAAATCAAATAGTTTTCTGGTTGCAATTTTCTAATTTCGACTATGCGTAATGTATGCTTTACGCATGCATTGAAAGAAATGTTTAATAAAGTAAACAAATAAATATAAAGCTTTTTTTTTTTGGTAAATTTTGATACTCTTTAGATCATAATTGCTCTTTATTTTATAAATTACGGTTTTATATTGTTAATATTATAATTTCTGCATGCCATCTTACAAGATTTAAACTGATGATCTACAATCAGGAAAATCCGATAATCCGGAAGTCGCAACGAGTCCGGATTAAAAACTTTTGACTGTATTTCTTTGTAACATATAATGACAAATAACAACATGCATTTAAAAATTTTTTGAAACAGCAAAAGCCTGTCTATCTAAACTAGCCGAGATGACACCGTTTTCAATAACTTTTTTTCAGAAAATTCATATGATATGAATTATTTTCGTAAGTTAGAGGTAGAAATAAATAACCTATAAATTTCTAGGTATGTATGTATTTAAATCAATTTACATATACTTATATTACTTTAAATCAGGGATGGCAACCCATTCTGGGAAGAGTGGTACTATCTGAAAAAAAAAATTATGCACACCACTTCCGCTTTTCTAACATGGTAAAAAAAATATAATGTTATTTATATGTGGATTATGGGATTTTTACACAAATAGAACAGTTCTTTTCCCACTGTAAGTGGATTAGTGGAGATTTAAAAAATATGATGGATAAAACAAAAGATTAAAATTAGGTTTTATTGTTAATAAACATTTTTAAACGTTCATTCAGTTAGGTTACTTATAAAATGAAAATGAATAATCTGAAATGTTTAACGCTAAATAATTATTAAACAGTTAGTAGTTAATTAATGTGGCTTTTGAATTTGCAATTTTTTCACTAAGTCATCTGTATTAGAATTAGTTCTTAAAGATGCTATCAAAATTGGGTGTTTTAGGTACATACTAGTTAATCTTGAATGATATTTTGATTTTATTACGTTCATAACAGAAAACATTTGTTCATAAACATGTCGATCCAAACCTACAATAATTTCTCACAAATTTTAGAAAATTGCTTGTTAGTATAAATTTCTAAAATTCATTATAATTAGGATCATTTGCACTTGAAATAAGTTCTTTATATTGGCTTCTCAGTGTAGTATGGTGCTGTATGTCTATAAGTTCGATTTGGATTTCAGGTAGGTAATAATTAACATCTTGCAGAGAGATTGAAAAATCATTTGTGAAAAAAACAGCACTTTTTTTTATTATCTTTTTTTTATTATTATTAAAATCATGAAACCTAGCAATGAATGAATCCTGCAAAATGGATATTAAGCTTTTTAATTTGTCATAGTTTGGAGCATTATTGAGTTTTGCTAGCTAGTTCCTGTGTTAATGTGAAATGTGTTATCTTTTTTCTCCAAAATCAGGATAAAAAAGGAAAATTTGTTCATTAAAAAAAAAGACAGATATATGACCAAGTAGGGTAGGTAAATACAATCTTTACAAGTCACTGAGCAGTTCATATTTTTTTTCGGCTCTACTCTTATATATGCCCTAAGATCACCAAATGTGGCGATATGCGTTCTGTGCTGGTTTTTGGTGCAATGGTTTCGGGGACGATGTTGTTTGTTTGGCAACCCTTTTGACATTGAAAAACTTTTTTGCTGCAGTGGTTCAATTGGTTCTTGTCATGCGTGTTTTGAAATAGCCTATGTTGCAATGAGAGACGTGGTGGCAAGATATTTTAGATTGTGTGCAAAGTAAAATCCTAATTTTAGTTATTTTAGTTTATTTTGTTGATTTGTGAGCAATGATTGTGTTGATTGTGCAATTCGTATATGTTTTTTTAAGTTAAAACAGAATGCGGTGTATATGGTATTCATTGAAATTTATTATTGTTATGTTAATTTATTAAAGTGAGCTGTGCGTAGTTCGTGGATTCCTTTGCTGCCTAGATTGTGCAATTCGTAGATGTTTTTTCTAAGTTAAAACATCTCGCTGTGTACATGGAATCTTGTCAAATATTTTTGGTTAGAAACTTTATGTTTATGTGTTTGCTATCTAAATTTTTTGTTTTTGTTTTGGATTTTTAGCTGAAATTGTGTGTTTAAAACATGGTTTTTTGCATGCGTGAAACCGCGTTTGGAGACATTTAGGCTTAAGTTTTGAATTAGACAAAATTTAGATAATAATAGGCAACTGGAGTTTTTGCCAAAATTTGGGAGAAATTTGTCGCCAAGCGAGGGTGTATATAAGAGTAGTTCCTTTTTCTCTATATATTTTAAAACAAAATTCAATTCAAATTCTTCAAACATCAAAATCTTGCAAGTACATTTCCTTTGGAAAGCCAGTGTATACTACATTGAAGGAGTAACTTGCCATCTTCTTCTGTTACTTCTGGGAAAAGCTCACGCAATCATCAACAATTTAGAGCTCGAGCTCCTAATCTGTCATATAGTGTGCTACAGAGTTAACAACAGATTTTAATATTTGATATTTTGATCAAATAATTAAAGTCTAATTTTTATTACCTCCTCTTCATCAGAACAGGCTTTTTTCTTGTGGCCTAACAACAAAGAAAGTTCATAAAAAGCGTTTACTATCGTTTCATTATTTCTCGTCTAGAACAAAGATAGTTGACTGGCTGAAGATTTTTTTTAATTGATAAATTCCATTCACAAGTGCGATCTAACAGGATATTTGCTGTTTAAATCACTACACAGTTGTTTGAAACGTTGGTCTAGGTGAAAGTTTTTAAGCACTGATAGACAAATTCGCAATATCAAACAAAAAGGCTTGACAGTGTTTTGATGCTTAAATAAAAATTGTTCCTCCCAGTTTTAAAATCATGATCTGCAATATCCTTCTCACATTTTCTTTTCGATATTGAAGGTTTACTCATGCATATAGTGAAAATAAAAATTTTTAAACCACGATATTTGATGCCAAAATCAAGAAACAGTTTAAAAGAGCTTGATTTGTTTGGCAGTTTAAAATAAACTAAGACAAACAGCCAGAGTGTTGCTTGCATTTGCTCTTGCTCAAACACAATGGCACCAAAGCAAGGAAACTCAAACCATTAGGCTTGCCATATAACCACTCTGCCTTACCACATCATCGTACTGGTGTTAAGCAGTGCTGCTTTCCGGTGCTGTTGTATTCAGTAGCATATCAATAAAAATAAAACTTTTACAGATTTTGACAAAGTTCCTCAAGATGACATTATTTTGTCAATTTTTTCAATAAGTCTTCGTGTGCCACTGTTGAAACTCTTCCTTGTCCATTGTTTAAATACTCATCAACTGTTAATGTTTTTTCTTGCAATTACAAGAAATTGTGCAATGCTACTATTTGATGAACAGCTATCACTTGAGCAGAGATTTCACTGTTAAATACTTTTAATGCAAGCTATATTAAGATCATATTTTACTTTAAAAAAATACATCTAAAGAATGAAATGAGTAAAAGTTGATTTTCAGAAATTGCAAATGGGTGGTTTACAAACTCCACTGGCCCAATGTTTGCCTCCTCACCCCTCTACCATTTCCAATAAATAGGGATTCAATACTAAATTAAAAATTTAAAGAGCTAAATTCAATCTACAGGAATGTCTACAGAATTATCATATTTATTTACCAGCTGCTTTTCTTGCCTTTCTAAATCTCGCCTATCTTTCTCTACATCACGCTGAGCACGACGTAATATCTTATTTTGTTCCCGCATAAGCTCTAAAACGAAAACATAGAATAATTAATAATTAATAATTTAATGATGCATACATATATAGTGTAATATCATACTATAGTATCATAACAGTTTAAAAACAAACTAATTTAAATGTTCAAATTTCATAATTAAATTTTTAATCAAAAACTTGAAACATGCCAATATTCCAACCAATTTATCATTTGTTTCATCATCAATTCAGAGAACACTATAGATAATGGTTCAGTTACTGACACTATAATTTTCATTACATCAGTATAAGTATCAGGTAAAAATTATCATGATTAACTACTGAAACATTACTAAGATGAAGCAATTTAATTAACATTATGATAGCCACAAAATTAAATGAAAAATAATAATAAAAAAAAAAGAGCAGCATGGCTTTGACATAAATAACAACACAGAAGTAATTGAAGTAAAGCATCCTATATTTAAAAGTAAAGCAACCGTAAAACTGAAATTTTGCTACTTATTAAGGCAACATAAGATTTTAAATACATTTCTGCACAAAATTAAGAGAATTTAATCATTATATAAAATTTCTGAAAAACTAATGGATAGATTTTAATGAAATTTAGTGTAAATATACATTAATAACATAGAAAAATACATACCATTCAAAAGACATTTTATGCAAACAAGATTATCGATAAAGCTCATTGTGCGAGGATATAAAAACCCATGCTGCAATATCAAACTGAAAATAAGTCTAATATAGAACCCTATGATTCTTTCACCACCGACCTCGGGCTGTTACATTGCCTAACAGGATGCCGGGAACCAGAATGGATTTAAATCTCATCACATCAGAGTTTAATACAGAGTACGGTCACCTCTCACACGTAACTATGGTCGTGTTCCAGGCTATCTCCAGATACAGGTATGCCTATATACACTTCAGTATCTGGGCTGAATCTCGACTTATCTGTAAAATGCATGGTTCTATACTGAAGTCTGGTCCAAGACGCATGTTGTCTGCACCATGTTAAATGTGCTCTATTGTGTGCTGCAGCAAGTGGAATGCAAACAATATGTGTTCTAGCATACAGCTCCATCTTATGAAGCCTTAAATATTTGACTCTGAATATTTTATATAATTTTTTGGCTGCATAAATAGCACCTTTAATTTACATAGATGTTCAAACACAAATAATAAAGTTAACAATATAACAAATTTATATAGAAGGTCAAACACAAATAATAAAGTTAACAATATAACTTTCAGCAGAAATTTTATGTAGAACTTTACAAGAATCAAATAATATCAGTATATCTAAAACTTAGGAAATGGCCAGAAATTTTTCTAATATGTTGCAAAATTTTGAGGAAGGATCATGTATTAAGGATCAAGCACCAAGTATTTTGAACTAATGAAATTCTACTCGTCAAGGAAATTTAAGATTAATTTTAAGAGCATATAATCTACGGGAATTCAGCTCGACTTATCAAAAATTTCAATATCAAAATTTTAGTACTTAGAGTAATTTTTCTTTGAAGAACCACAAAACATAAATTTCGCACAATCTTTCTTTGAACAGAAAATCTCGTCTATAACTTAAACTCACATGGAAAAGCACTAAAAGATAAAAGTTGATTTCATGGGGGAATTATGATTGTTAATATTATGATTTTATAATCGGGGTAAGGACTAATAAGTAGATAGTAATATGCAGTTCCTTAACTAGACCAATGATTTAAACAACATATAAAACTGTTGAAAGCAAATTATATCTCAAGTAAACATGAACACAATACGCATTCATACTAAAAAATTCTCAAGAGACATATAAAATTTCATACCGAAATATTATCAGAAGTTTCATTTAGCAACTCGAAAATAAAACAAGTACTAGATTTAAGAATTTTACCAGTTACTTACAAAATTATAAACTCCCAATAAATCAAATTATTGTCAATTACTCAGCTAAAATATCACCTTTATTACATTAACTTTCTTAAAAACATATTACATAAATTCCTCAAAAAAAAAGAAAAAAACCACTTCAGAAAAGCTGCGAAAAAAGATTTTAGTACCTGCAGGAGTTTGTTTTTTCGAGAAAAAACTCATTTTATAAAAAGAGTCAACAAAACGAATTGAAAACAAACGAAAAATGTAATTTGCTTCAGAAAAATTTACAAAATTTTATTCACATGATATTGATGACATTCTGTCACTGTAATTATGCAATGTTTACTGACTAATGTTGCCAAACCTATTCTAATAAATTATGAAACTTAAATTTTTAAACGTTTCCTCCCAGAGAACTACTTATTTTCCTAATATGACGATGAATTTCGGAACAATTTTGTTCAGATGATTATTTTCAAGTATTAAAGTATTCTGTTCCAATGAATGATGTTAAAGAAGAAATTCACGACGCAGATAAAGGTAGAAGTCTTTTCGTTTTTCGTATATATATATTTTTTTTTTTTTTTTTTTTTTTTTTGTTTGTTTGTTTTGTTTAGCTAAAAATAGTACAAATATTTTTCGTGTTATACAGATATATTTCACAGAACTGCACTATGTGTTTACTTGAAACAAAGGTAGGCTTGCAACATATATCCGAAATATTTTATTTCACTCATACTCAAAATTCAGGGAAAAAATTAAATCCTAAAATAAATTTAGACATATTCATATACACAGTTTCTAAAATAAATTTAGACATATTCATATACACAGTTTCTAAAATAAATTTAGACATATTCATATACACAGTTTCTAAAATAAATTTAGACATATTCATATACACAGTTCCGAAACTTTTAAATAGCTATCCTGCGTTATGAAATGCATTAGCTTTGTTTTAAAGCGAAAGCACTGAAAGAATTGTTGAATTTGCTACTTGATCGTACAAATGTTACGATAAAATGTTTAGGTAATGATATTTAACTCTAACTGAAAAAAGTACTTGTAAAAAAATTAAATAGCGGGTGCAAAATAAGACATCTGTCTACTTTGTCTGTCTGTCTAAAATAACTTTGATTTAGAAATTATTAGAGTTACAATGAAAAAATTGTTGTATATGATTAAGTAATATTTTGGAAGAAAAAGAAATAGAAATTACTATATATCTGTCTGACACTTAATTGAATAGGTTTTGAGAAGAAATTTTGCCTAATTATGTGAGAAGTCTATAAATATTATTTGCATACCGAACGCTATGGCACGTCGCTTATGATGTTTGATGAAAAAATTTTACTTGTACTTTTTGTTTTACTTCAAATCACCTTTTACCTACAAGGCCAGGATGAAATTTCCCAGAAAAATTCGAGTGGAGGAAAATTGGGAGGAGGCCCAATTCCAATCATTATAAAGGTAAAATATTTCTTGAAACTAAAAATTTTCTTCTTTCAATCTGTGGAAATAAATTGGGTACTTTCATAGTAAAGCGGCAACCGTCGTTATTCCTTAAAATTCGCAAACTTTCTCCTTAAATTTGTAACACGTAGTCTTTAACTATCAACAGGGCCAATATAGTGGTAGTTTAATAAGGAAGTACCTAATTTTGCATTTTTTTGACAAATAAATTAACAATCGTTAAATAATACGCTCATTTTTTAATCACGACTCAAAGTATAATGGAGATAAGATCTAATCATCATTTAGGCGGCATACATGCGTTTGTAACTCACCTAGAAAGTTCATTAAGTGACAATACATTAATCTTGTGACTGTTGTAAAAGGTCACAAAATGTTAGATCAAGAACTGATAATTCGTTCGAGAGAAATCAGAAAAAGTGTTGGAATAAGAAATAGTAATTACTTCAACGGAAGTGCCACCTTATTTAGTGGAACTCATATAGATGCAGAGATAGGCTGTGGATAATAACAAATTGGTGGCATTTTGAATGCGACTTCCAAACAATACCTGTCGGAAATGAAAAAAAACTTGTTTCGTCGATCTACTAAGAAAAGAAATTCTATTGCTAGTAAACAGTTGGTCGAACACCGACTATTGCACAAGTATCTGATGCATCATATATTCCAATTCGTAGAACTTATACTCTACAACAGAATTAAAGAGCTGGAAGTACATATATAAATTTCATAATCAAATCATAAATGCAATTTCATAGAATCGAACGCAAGGACGAAAAATGATTATGGTAAAATGCAAAATAGCAAAATGAGAAATACTGTGGGACTTCGTCCTTCGCAGTGTTTCTTTGGGGATGAAAAAGAAAAGAGATTTCTGTAGAGCGTTAAGATTTTTTGCCTTCCTAAACTAATTAACTACCGTTAAGCAATAAATAAAGTTGAAGTTAACAGCAGCAATTTCAATAATTTAAATCATAAATATATATAGCTCAAAATTTAGTTCATCATAAATGTAGTTTCATGGATCTGAAAAATAGACTGCTGATCAGATATGGAGCTCTAGTTTCTTACCTAGTATAACCAAGGTGTAGCTTCTGGTGCTTGATCATACTCGTTGTTCCTAATTATAAGCAAAGAGTATGATAATTTTTCTTGATGCTTGACAAACTTTGCGTCTTGTTACTAAAAAAGTACCTATTTAACTCCTTCTGTAATGCAAATACTTTTTGGATGGTTGAGTTTTTAAAATTAAACTTTAATTTTTCTAAAGCATCAATTTCTTACTGAACGAGATTGCGAGTCTCAAGTATGTACTGGGATTCCGTCTTTAGAAAAACTTGCTAAATTTGTTGCTTTATCAAGAAATCACGAAAAAAAAGAGCATTATCTCTCAAAGGGCAGGCTGGGTGGGTGTATTATAGGATGAGGAGGATTGCATTATAAAATGCATGTTAGGTCATATGAACGAAAAAATATGAGTAACCTTATATCGAAGGAATATATACTAATAGAAAATATATAATGACGCAGAAAATTCTGCGTATAATTTTGCGTGCAGTACACAAAACTTATCTCTCACTGGAAAGGTAGAATTCGAATTTCAGTGAGGATGTCATGCATCCCTCTCCCAGGTTTCCTAATTTAACGCCGTACGACTTTTTTTCTTTTTCTTTTTTTTCTTTTTTTTTTTTTTTTTGAGACATATTAACATGCCACCACGATAGTAGGTTACTCCGTTTAATAAATCACACTTTTTTATTCCTGACTAAGTTCTGTTTCATTTCCATGTAATGTATACTCAAAGTCAGTTTTCAAATGCTGAGTCCGCCTATCTGATCATATGGTACAAATAAAATATTCTTTTGCCGGGAAGGGCCCACCAGCGGCCGAGCGGTAAAGACGCTGAACGCTGGTAGTTCGGTCTGAGGTTCGAATCCCGCGAACGGGCTGGCTGCATGGGCGTTTTCGTGGTTTTCCCCATGTGTAACGTTTATACGAGCCAGTTTCCCTTAGAAAGTCCTCCACGAAAGGCATCCCTCCCTTTAGGCAGATAGCCCTCGTGTGCTTTGCCATAACTGAATAATTCAAATCCAAAATCCTTTTGCCGGGAAGGAAAACAGGTTTTTATCCAATTCAAAAATATTTTTCAGATTACACTGCATTCCTATGTCTTAAAAATCCATCAAATCAATTACCACCTTTTAATGTAGGAAACAAAAGTAGGCAACTTCGTTTCTTAAGGGACAGGTAGATATGTTTCTCATGTTCTGTTACAGCTCGTATTTTAACCGCATTCCTTTACCCGCAGGTTGGGTTAGACAGTGTTTTTAAACAATCAGATAACTGACCAATTTTACAAAAGGAAATTCGCATATTGTTACATGGTGGAAAGAAAACATTCATTGCAATATAGCCGTTGTCATTTACAACTTATAAATTAATATCATCGTTCTCAATGCTATTAACTAATAAGTTAGGAACATGGCCTTTTTTTATTCTCTTCAGTGTGCGAAAGAAATGAATATTTAACAATATTTAAAAAATTAATTCCTGTATGCATGAAAAGCTGATGATGAGTTTGCTGTGGTCCATGAAATTCCTGTCTCACTAAGCATTGTGTCTACAACAGTAAGCATTGTGTCTACATCAGGTGAAGCGATAGCTGAGGCAGTCACAATGGATATCAGAGCTATTAGTGTTAACAGTGATAAGATAACTACAAAAATGACCCTGAAGAACATTTTTTAAAAAGTTGCAAACAGAATATTACCCTTTGGGAAATTAAGATATTATCTTAAATGTATGCACTGAGAATTGAATTTTATCAAAAGACTGCAAATTTTGTGCTGAATTTAAAGAGAAATTATCGACAGTTATTCGAAAAATAATTAAATGTAAATTTATAAATTTTAAAATATTTTTTGGCATTAATATGCTATTTATTATTTTATTTTCTTCTTTCGTATAAAGTTTTTAAATCTATATTTTTAATACTTAAGGAGAGTTATGAATAAAAATGTGGTTTTATTTTCATTTTGTTCATTATATTAAAAATACCTATTCTTGTAACCTAGGTGACTCCGGATAATATGTAATTTTTCCCCTGGTCCCAAGAGTAACTTCTTAACGAGGTTTGACTACATTTCAGTCAATCCACTTCGAGAAACATAAGTTTGTTTTTCTACAAGAAGGAAAGTAAAATCTGCTGATATTTTTTGGCAAACGCTTGGGACAAATTTCGTTTCCATTAGAACTTCTTCGTTTCAAGGTTTGGTTTCAGTATATGTTGAGTCAAAACAGTATTTTTAAGGGCTTGGAATAACATTTATAAGATTCAATGAGGATAAGCACAGTCAATGCTTTCAGAAGCAGAGCCCGACATTATAGACATGCCCATATAAATATAAATATAAAATTTGCCATATAAAAAAAACTACTGAAACTTGAAATTGGATTTGAAATATTCTTTCATAGACTTTGTATGTTTAATTTTATTTCAGGATGCTGGTGTGGATGATCTGAAAAAAGGAGACGTAGCAATGATATTTTGTAAGATATTTTTCAGAAATATCTTCTCATTTGATTATATTTAAACAAATTTATTGAGATTACTTCATATAGATTATAAAAAAATTACCACTGAAAGGATTTAACTGTAGGAAGCTCTGGAAACCAGAGAAAGAGGTTATATCTGTGTAGTTTGAGACATAAATTTAACTGACTTTTGTCACTCATAAAAATACGCTCTGCGTATTAGGTACATCGCTCAACGAAGAAGCAGTTACACATGACAACGTGTTGTTTTCGTTCCATTTGATGATCTTTTAGTACTAAAACGTGATTTAAGAGTCCCATTTCTGTTTATTATTTATTTATTTT